ATTTGCTGATCCTCATGGTGCAAGAAATGTAAACTTTAATCTAAAAATGTCTTTGTGTATTCTTTGTTTTTTAAACCAGCATGAGAATCCAGCAAAAAAATAATACACCACCCTATTTTACACAAGCGTTTCATCAACACAAAGCAGAAGTGAAACTTTTACATAACCATATAAAACTGCAAGTTGCGAAGGGAAAATGCAGAAAGTCAAGAGCCGCACCATTCAAAGGGTTTCCCCAAAGCACATAATACGCTATGAAAGACAGCCAGGTTTCTCTTAACACCATTGGGAATGGGTGAAGGATGAAGAGCACACAGTTTTGTTTGATGTCAGAAAGATAAGGCAGCATAAACCACAAAATATGTTAAGCAGATAAGCAATACAATGAAAAAAAACCCTTACCTGTTCTGAGTAATTAAATCACATTTTAAAGTAGTGTTATTTATAGATCCTCACTGATAGATGCACTTATTTATACAGCAGCATTTTCTAATAAGTCTTTATAGAGAGGAAGTAAACATCACCCATTTATCATTATTTGTTTATATTAGGAATCAAAAACAATTTTTATATCTGAAGTCAGAACTGAGAATGACGTTCTAAAATTCCACTTTTTCGGCTTCTGTGAGTGGAAACTGGTATTTGCCAATAAATAAAACCAACATACCATCATCTTCATTTTTAATACAAGAAACCAGCCAACAAATTTGTTTGAATATTGGCTGTAGAAATGGTGAAAGTAGAATCTTAATGCCGTGGATAGTCTGGTGCACAGCAGACTATAGTGACATTTTGTGACTCAACATCCATGGGATGCATTAGTTACATCACTTTGCAAATTCTTCTTGTTATTGTTGTTTAAAGCCTCTCTCTGTTGGGAAAGATGCAAACTTTCCCAAGGAATGAAGAAAAGAGGGAAAGATATTTTTATTGCCCCAAATCAGAATCAACCAAATGGGAGAGGAATTGCAAGTAAAAAAAAAAAAAAACATTTAAAAATTCTCAATGTTTTATCAAAAAACATTCTTTGAATGTATGAAGAAAAATAGAACCCTATGAAATAAAAAATGAAAATCCTATCTAAATTTTAACAAAACAACTATAAGGAGGTCACCTTATTAAAACAACGTGCAGAAAAACAGCATCCAAAACATTTTGGCTTTTATTGCTTTATCTATTATTATTTTGCATCCACATCTTAAATTCTATCAGCTAACCTATTCTATAAGTGTTTTAAGAAAAGGGTGGTTGTACCAATTAATGAAATTCAAATAAAATACTGCTTCAGTTCTGCAACTGTAGAATATTGCAATTCTGTACATCCTTTATTTGGAATAAGTGCACTGATCATTCAGCGCATTATTTGCGCTGAATAATGATTCAGATCATTATTTAATTACAAGTAAATTTGAATGCATCAGAACATGTAAACTGCAACTTTTTGGGGGGAGGGAATAAATTTCCTTTATCATTCAAGTCAGATACTGGAAGATTTGTGCACAGTTACCCCCATTATGCTAAAATAAACTGGTATCTGCTTCAAAATATCAATTAATTTTGATTGTAATACAGATAGTCTTCGACTTACAACAGTTCATTTAGTAACAGTTCAAAGTTAAAATGGCGCTGAAATAAGTGACTTACAACCATTGCATCATCCCTATGGACACATGATCAGAATTCAGACACTTGGCAACTGACTCATATTTATGATGGTTTCAGTGTCCCAGGGTCACATGATTACCTTTTGCAATCTTCTGTTAAGCAAAGTCAATAGGAAATCCAGATTCACTTAACAACCGTGTTACTAACTTAAAAACTGTAGTACTTCATTTCAACCTCCAGAAGTTGTGAATTCTCCAACACTGGAACTTTTAAAGAAGAGATTGGACAATCATTTGTCTGAAATGATATAGGGTTTCCTGCCTGAGCAGGGGGTTGGACTAGAAGACCTCCAAGGTCCCTTCCAACTCTTTTATTCTATTCTGTTCTATTTAGCAACTGTGGTAAGAAAGGTTGTAAAATGGGCAAAACTCACTTAGCAACTATCTCACTTACCAACAGAAATTTTGGGCTCTGTTATGCTCATAAGTCAAGGACTACCTGTACTTGAATACATCAAAAATAAATCATACTTTTTCAATACCTTTTCTGACTCAAAATATAACATTTTGTGGCTTCACAGAGAGCATTCCGATAAACCAACCTATAGCTGCACAAAGAACATTTTACTGAATACTTAAATAGGGGTGGGGAATTGTGGTGGGTGGGAGTGTGTTTGGGGATTGTTATGTATGTTGGACCTGGTCTTTGGGTGTTAAGTGAATTTTGTTGTATGGGTATACTCTGTATACACGTACAATGACAATAAAGTTATTATTATTAAAATATGCTAAATGATGTTATAATTTTTATGCCATAAGAATCGTAACATGGATTAAAGTTTTCATTTAAACTACAAATAAAATGTGTTTGATTTTCCATTGAAATCTAAACTAAAAATGCATTTTTATGACAATTATTAGAGAGTATTATGAAAAATAATGATGCTTGTTTTCAAATACTATAAGTATATGATAGCTCTGGGAGAATGAGAATAATGTAAAAAAAATACAAAGTAGAATTGCATTCTTTTCCTTTCATTACAAAGTGTAGTGCGTTAAGTATTTTTTTTTTTTTACATTATAAGTAATTGTTAAAATAAAGCTTCTTAAAATAGCAGAGACTGGGTTGGATTCAGCATTATAAGGGCTTGCAACACAAGACAATTTTTTTTAAAAAACTTGTCACTTGGTAAACTTAATATTTTGGACACAAGCCCCGGAATTACAAGCTTATAGGTTTTAAGACATTACAAACAATATTTATTTCCCCACATTCATATTGCATATCCACATGCATGAAATTTTTGTTTAAAATGAAATGGTGCTATGTGAAACTGCTTTTGATTAATTAATCCTTGAGAAAATGCATTTTTGTTTAATGTACAGAGATATTCAGTGTTATGATTAGTTATTTGTTCTATAAAATGATCGTATACTTCAGCTTAAAGCAATGACGCCAAAGTACATCTAATGCCTGTAACCACTGCAAACCTTACAGCGTATGAGGAAGTGTTTACAATAGCCAACAATTGCAGAACATTTAGTGGTTTATGGTTTTGAAAACTAATACAACTGGCATTTATATTTATCAGCGATTACTAAAACCAGTGTTTGCACATCACTATAAAACAACTTCTCTTCATCCTTGACTAAAAAATAACGGAAGGGGAATCCCTTAATGTTGCCTGATATTACTAAGCGAGGTATGCAGCTAACAGAAAATAAATAGGCTGGACTAGTCTTCAGAAATGGCCAATAGTGGCTAAAAAAGAATTTGAGAGAAGGAAGAAGGGGGAATGCTGGAAAGCATACATGTGGACTTGAGAAGACATTGTACAGCACTATGAGAACTTAGAAAGGGGAGAGGGAAAAAAACCAAAAAGAAGGGAAAGGATGCATAGTTTAAAAAAAAATTTAAAAATAAAACAAGTCTAAAGAAGTTATACTGTCGTCTTGTAAGGAAGCATCCAAGGCTAAATCCAGAATCTTCAGCATGGCTCTTTTAAGGGAGGTGAAAGCCTCTTTTCAGAGAGAAATTCTAATGGAAGGTATGTATTAAAGCAAAGCTGAGCAAAGACTTCAGCTAAGAAAAATGAAGTCAAATTGATAAATACTAATTGGAGGGGAGAAAGTCAGAGGAGACAGGCTTTTGATTTAAATACAGATAGTTCCTGATTTACAATCAAAATTGAGCCTGAAATTTACACAATTTATAAGTTGTGCTGATTGTTAACTGAGTCATCATGAGAGTGACCCAATTTTACCATATTTCCTTGTGGTTATTAAGCAAATCAGTGGTCGTTCTGCAAATTCACAGTTGTTAAATGAACCCACTGTCTGCAGTGGATTGTTTTTTTTGCTGGAAACCGGAAGTAAACAGCAGTTTCCAGGAAGAAATGTCATAAATTGTGGTCACATGATCATGGGATGTTCTAAACGGCCTTAAATGCAGGTCAGTGGTCAAGCGCCCAAAATGTGATCACGTGACCACAGGTGGTTCCTTCCATCAGAACTTTGAATCCAGGTTGTTAGAACCTTCTGGTCAGTCCATCATAACTTCAAATGGTCGCTAAGCGACTAGTCATAAGTTGAGGTCTACCTGTATATATTTAATTAAACATATGGTTAATTAAAGTTTCAGATTTCAAGAGAAAAGTCTGATTTGGAGTATATAGAATATTTCAAATGATGGAAACAATTCAAGGAGTTAGTTTTTCCCACCTTGTACTCAGTTAAAGAAGGCAGCCATCTGAGCCCAGAAAAAAAAATCAAGGTCTTGAAAAAGGTCCTGGCAGATGAGCATCCATATGCACTTCAAATCACATTTCTGCCTTTGAATCTGAAATGCTATGCAGCACTTTTAATTAATAATTAAATGAAGAACAGATAAGCAAGATATATATTGTTTATATTTTATATCCGAGTGTGATTTTTAAATTAAACTCTGTAAATATCTTTTGGTTCTTGTTTTAAAACTTAGTTACAAGTTCAATGGGATATTTAAGAGGTCTTAAAAAGTCTTAGAAACACTAGGAGAGGAATGAAAAGTCTACAAAGTTAAGGCAGTGCTTATTGAATGGAAATCAAATACCAGCAAAAGTTAGAGAAATAAAAGCAACTTGCATTGATTTTTTACTGATAATTTTGATGGCAGTACGTGGGATGAGATAAACACAAGTCCCAAGCTTTTCACAGCCCACAAGGTCCAAAATTATGTATCTATGAAGAATATTGACCTTTAGATGAACTCAGTGCTTGATTATTGAAGAGAGAACTATGTCATTTATGAAAATGATCCAGATACAGCTTGAGAGTTATGCCTGTGAAAAATGCAGAATGCAAACTAGACTTCCCATGCAAACACAACAGCACCATCGCAATAACAATAGATCTTACATTTGGGGAGGGGTCTGTTTGTTCATATTTTATTTCTTCTTTCCCATTTGCTTCCGACTGTGTCAGTTGATATGATCTGCCTTCAATGAAAGTAATATAGTCTTTATAAGAGCATAATGGGCCTGCCAGGATACCCATGAAATTACAGTTGTAACTTAAATATTCCAGTAGACTTGGCATGCGTCTGTAATTCAAAGACAAGCAACTGGTGAGATTTTACCTCTATTTTAATAACAAGGACTCTGCTACAAGATATTAAAATACCATACAGTGATTGGTTATAGATGAACTGTCTAGCTGACAGAAAACTTCATAGATAAAAAAGTTGGGATCCAAAACTAGTTGATTAGTTGTTTATAAAGGATCCTATACTAGTCAAAAGATCAAGCAGGAATGGAAAATTTGTGGCCCTAATAAAGATTGCTGAATTAAACAATCTTGATCAGTTTTAGCCAATGGTAGTTATGGTTCATCACTCATCATTTCCTCCTTGGATATAATAGGCACAATATGGTACGTGATTCATTAGGCAATCTGATTTCTAGTTACTGGAGAAAACCCAGGAAATCAGACTAATTCAATAGCATGCTACTAGAAATTTACTTCAATAAAACAAGGACATGGGAGTCATACTCCAACAATGAAATGCAAATTGATCTTTCTTCAGCGTTAATACAGGTAGTCCTCAATTTACAACCATTGGTTTAGTGACCATTTGAAGTTACAGTGGCCTGAAAAAAGTGATTTACAACTTGTCCTTGATCTTAGAACTGTTGAAGCATCCCCACAGTCACATGATCAAAATGGCATGTATTTACGATGCTTGCAGTATCCAAAGGTTATGTCATTGACATTTGCAACTTTCCCAGCCCTGCTCACAACAAGCAGTGTCAAGGGAAACCAGATTTGCTTAATGACCATGTGATTCATTTAACTACCGCAGTGATCAGCTTAATAATTGCCTTGCTTAACAACTAAAATTCTGGTCTCAGTTGTGATCGTAAGTCGACGACTACTTGTAGCACACCAAGTAGTTATTTAGTTTGCCTTTATGCTGCTTTGTTTAGTTTGGCCCAAAGCGCTATCTTCATATCATTGTAAAAAAAGATGGAAAGCACCCAAATGCACGGAATCCAAATGCATCTGTCTCCTGCAAAGCTGCTGAAAGGCTGACTGACAGATGGAATCTGAGGCAGCCGTTGACATTAAAACAGAGAAGCACTTACCTCACGGCTAAGCATTGCTGTGATGGCGACAGTTCTTCCTCCTTTCGGAACATTCCTGCACATGAGCAAGAAAGAAAAAGGTAACCCATTGGGGCTGCTGCAAGAACCACAGAGCTGGGACTATGTTCTGTTTCTCTCACTCTCGCTCTCTCTCTCTCTCTTTTTTTTTTTTGCAGGATAGTCATGAAGAGAAGTAATTGCAATCTGAGACCAAACAATAAGAGCAACTGATGCTAGCAGGGATTTGAGAGGACACGTTGCCAGCATTCTAATCCTCTTTGTGATTAATCTAGGATGGGCATAGATTGGGACAGCGTTATCAGTCCAAATTTCCTAATCAGATTATTACATCCAGATGCTTGAGATGATTCAGAATTTTGATTCACTTTAGGGGGAAAAGGCCGTTCTGTGCATGAGCAGAAGCCACTGAATCATCAGGCTATTTTCTTCAAGGTCTAAATGCTATTTAATGAAAAGATTGCCATTATTTCTTGTTTTCATGTTCAGATCAAGCAAGCTAATCAAAACATGCCATGGCTACAAACTCAGTCTTAACCGTGATTGCTTCCACGATCTGTTTTCAGATGACAAGCTAGGCCAAATCAAAACATGGTTTAGTATATCATGCAAAAGTGCTATTTCTTGTACCTTTGGATCAGAGAGACTATGATTTAATCTTAAGTAATTAACTGAAACAAAATAATGTCAAACTCCTAGTGTATGTTTCTGTCCCTCCTCAAATAATCATATGTAATTTTAAGCATGTTGCAATATAGCTTGACAACCAGTTTGGTGTAGCGGTTAAGGCCTCAAGTTAGAAACAGAGGCCGAGTCCTAGTCCCACTTTAAGCAAAGGGTGACCTTGGGCCAGTCACTTTATCTCAGCCCTAGGAAAGAGGCAATGGCAAGCCACTTAAAAAAAAACTTTGCCAAGAAAACTGCAGGCAGTTTTCAAGAATCAGACACCATTGAACAGAAGGGGAAAGAAACCACACAACTAGAAATGTAAACTGAGATTGATTTAAAACAGTGAGTAGAGCCAATGTACATGGCTCCATATCAGATGGCATAATCAGATGACTGCTAACTGGGAGCAAAGAGTCATGAAAATCCTAACTCTCTGCTGCTATCTAATGATTGTCCAGATTTTTGCAGTAATGGACAGCTTTAAGTGGCAAGAGACTACACTATTATAGGGCTGTGGAGAACTGAAAAATTATTTGAATGAAATGATTCAGATTTCATGAGAGCACAGCAACTTCCTGCTGTTCATTAAAGACTCCCAAATTCTTAATGCTTCTGCATGAGCTAAAAAAAGGATACACCTACTATAAGAAATTTGCTAGTTTAATGTTAATGCAACTTGGAAGACTGCCCATTGCTGTCTCTAATATTTCAGAGAGGGAGGGAGGGAGGGAGGGAGGATGCAAGCATGAGGCTTATAGCAATCTACCCACTTAATGCTGATCTACGATTAATGCTATATTCTAATGCAGCCATTATCTCTGTTTATTTACAAATAAAACCAACTGACTTTTCTGGTTTAAAAGCATTCTCTTTTTAGCTCCTGAGTTGTCTAAACTAAACACCTAATTATCATTATTTATTTAGACTTGTAAGTATTTTCATAACTCTATACAATTTTTACTGCTTATTTTTTCCAACTTGTAGCTTAGTTTAATTTTCATCTACGGTGCTTTTGTATTCTATGGAGTTTTTAAGATGTAAATTTTCTTGTGTTAAATCTGAAAAAAAGTTGACATTATTGATTTAATGAATAAAAATATTCAGCAATACAATTTGCCCATTTAAAAATAATTATACAAGGCAGCAAGAACTAAATAAAAGAAATATTGGTTTAATGAAATCATCACAAATACTGGTTTTGTCAATAAAATTCCACTGGCTTTATAAGAAGAAAAGTATCATATATTCAACTGATTGAATATCCGGTATATGGATAGAAAATAAAAGGGTTTTCCAAGATTGAAAGTTAAATGAATAGCTGGCCAGAACACATTGTTCTACCCACAAATTTAAAGAAAAAATTCTCCTCCCCAATTTGTGTTAAAAATTTAAAGAAGGAAGTCTTTTCTCACCCCCAATTCTTACCATCATGAATTTCATACGCCAAACTTGTAATTTTCTGAGTAATTATCATCATTGGGCTGTAACAAAGATGGAGAAAGGACAGGAAATTTAGATTTTTAAAAAATAAAATAGTACTTCTCTATGGCAAGATAAGGCTGAATGAGAATATTCATGAGTGTGTGTTTGTTTTTTTAATTTGCCACTCAAAATAATTCTTCATTGGTAGGCTCAGGCAGAGAGAAACAAAGAAACCAATGGCATTTACACTGACAGGAAATGATATATTTTCAAAAGGTTTATAGCTGATTTGCTTGAGAAGTCACAGAGACTGTTCAGAAAATGAACACATTTCAGCTCAATTATTCCTCCCTCCATAATGGAGGAAGCTTCCATCCTTCCTTTATCACAAAGCTTTATTTGATTAAGTCCACAAAATGTCTAATTATGTTTCAAATGGGGATATCCTGATTTGAGGACAAAATTAATCACAAATTAAAAACAGGACATTTTAAGTTCTTTCCTTCAGGCACAAAAAGGAGAGGAGAAAGAGAAGCATGCACGAGCTTGACTTTCAGACATGCTTATTCTCATTATGTAAGCAGTCAGCTACATGCATATGCACCATTCCCCACTGTTGCTCCCGCCCTTTGACACATGTTTGAGATTAAAATCTAAAGATTTTCACCAAATTTGTTAATCAAACCAGAATAATACAATATCATTAAGCAGATAGAGAAGCAACAGGAAAAAAATAACACTGACCCATGTAAATAATGGACCACTAAAATCTAATTTTATTTCAATTGTACATACATTTGCTCCATAAATATTAGAACATAATCAACCTTGAAAAATTGAACCAACAGTCTGCAAGGAGTACTTTGCCATTTCTACATCACACAGAAGATTTTCTTTTAGACACATACGTAATGGTAACATCAGAGAAAGCAATATAACAGAAATTCACAAGTACCCTAGAGAATGCCGTTTTCCAATTACATAACTCAAAAGTAGAGAAATAAAGACACCGTCTTGCAATATAAATGATTTCTCCTAAAAGTAACTTTGGTGTCTTGTTCCAAGAGAATCATAGGAAAAGAGGCAAGATTTATTAGCTTTCATACACTTCCCCAGTACAAAAAAGATTAATTTGTGAACTCAGATACAAATCCAAACTTTTAAAAAGGAGAGACGAGGAAAGAAGGGAAAAGGAACTGCAGAAAGGAAATCTCTCAATGTTCATGATTGCACTGGACATTTCCAGAGACATATACAGGTGTTTTGTCAGATGCAAAAAGGTACAGGTAGTCCTGGACTTATGTCCGATCGCTTAACAAATATATATGACTAACTTGAAAAAAGTTACTTACCACCCATCCTCAGAATTATGACTGCCACACTATCCCCATAGTTACATCATCGTATTTTAGGTGCTTGTCAACCAGCCCACATTTATGACTGGTTGCAGCATACTGCAATCATATAAGATAGCATTATGTGAATTTTTTGCCATTTTCTGGCAAAAAAACACCCATTGGATAAGCTGAATTCAGACTGACATAATTCATTTAATGATCACGATGACATGCTTAATGGCCATCATAAAAACATTGTAAAATTGAGTCTGGTCAATTTGAATCAGTCTGAGTCTGACTCAACTTAGGACCACAATGACTTATGACTGAAATTCTATTTTCAACTGTGGTCATAAGTCAAGAACTGCCTGTATATTTTAATCAGGAGATGACACAAGTGGTTTGATCTGAATTTATTCTGTCCAACCAGCATCAGCTAGATCAGCTGGATGGATTTTTAGCCCACAGAGAAATCATTTTCATAAACATCCTATTTCAGATATAATTCTATTTTGAACTATATAGTTATGAAGGAGCTAGATAGAAAATTGTGATAGGGCAGCCTTTACCATATATATGTATACACATTTTTCCATGTTAAGTCACATCCCTGAATTATATTACCTCATACTCTTCTGTTGCAATAAACGAACAGATAACATGCATACATTCTTATTTTTTATTTAAAAAATCAGACATCTATGAAGTCTCAGGTAAATTATACTTAATTCAGACTTAACTATATCAATCTACAAAAACAATTGTGAGTACTGAAAATTGTTATTCTTACCCTGAAAAATCAGCAGAATATTGTCCATAGTCAAATATATAAACTCTAGAAATTTGGCACACAGTGAGGTATCCCAAAGCAAAAACAAAACAATATCTGGAAAAGAAAAATAAAAGTCATTGGGTTATTGCTCACAGAACCTATAGGTATTAACATATATAAAAAGCTAGACAACCTGTTGTTGGATGCTTATCCTACGGTTGGGTAGATAATATATCGAAAACTATGTTCTGTAACTTTAACTGCTACAAGATGACTAATTGGTTGTGCTAAGCAGACATAAAAGAAAGCAGGAAGTTCATTCACTTCTGCTCCTGCAAGGTTGAACTGCTGAAAGGAACTGTGTCTGTGTGTTACTGAAGAGCACTGGAATTGTAAGCAAACTATGTTTTTGTGTTGAACCGTGATTATTTGAAGAAGTGTTATCTTTGTTTTGAGAAGCCAAGTTTGTTATTTTTACTACAAGTAAAGACTGTTTATTTTTCTTTAAATGTTCAGAGTCTGTGAGTATCTGTGTGTTTTGCTAAGCAACGTATCTATTCGCTGTCTGGTCCCTTGCACCACTTTGCAGAGGGCAGTTTTACCCTCAACACCTGTGACTCATTGGATCTCTTTTCACAGATATTTCCTTACTTAAACAGAGACACAGAATGACTACAGACAACAAAAATGCAAAGGGAGCAGGAGCAATTTCCAACTTTTTGCTGGCTTCCACACTGAGTTGCTTTGTGGGAAGCTGGCAGGGACTTGAAACTGACCCACAGAATATTCTGACATTTTGCTAAGGGAAGGCCGAACAAAAGAAGCCATGGACCACAAAGAAAATTGCAACCCTGTTCCTTAAACCAGTGCAGCAAGGGCCCCCTCCCTCCAGGGAGGAAGAGGCACATTCATTGACTGCCAGCCTCACCCCACCCCAGCCAGCCATATCTCATCAGCAGGCATCTGAATTGCTTCCTCACCCTTCTCTCACCAGCCATTGCCATTAAGAGAGTTCACGTTTCAGCTTCTGATCCAAAGCGGCCAATTGCCACTTGCCAATTGTACCTTGCCATCAGCCAATTAGATGCAGGGGCCACAGGGAGATGGGGAAGAGACCGGGGATATGGCCTTCCCATTTGCCCCCCTGCCGTGCAACCTACAGGTTTCTGGGAAGCATAGCCAGAAGATATACCCTGTTTTCCCCAAAATAAGACATCCCCTGATAATAAGCCCAATCGGGCTTTTGAGGGCATGGCAATAAGGCCAAGCGCTTATTTCAGGGTTCAAAAAAAAAATATAAGGCAGGGTCTTATTTTCAGGGTAACATGGTAGTGGTCTGAAGTGGCCACAACCTTTCCAAATGTAATTCCCAATAGAGTCACGGGTCCCAGCATTCGGTAATTTATAGTTCATTTAAGTTGGTTCAATTATTGTTGCTCTATACCTTCCAGTATTGCCCAACTGAAGGTTATAAACAAACAGACACAAGAGTTGTGGTATATTCACACAATGGTGGTTAAAGACCAAACTTTTTCAATATCCTCAAAGCCTTTGAACCACAAGCCAATCACTGTTATTTTTAAACTCCCCCCATTTAGTTACAACAGAATCTACATTACAGTTCTTGTATTTTTAAGCATGTTTTTTTAATTTCTATAGAGATTCTCAATCATCTTCTAGGCCATGGTTGTCCCAAAGGTGCTTTTCCAAAAGGCAACTGGACTTTTTTTTTCCTTTCCTTGAAAATGTTGAACTGAAGAAGCTTCTTGGATGAGAAGCAAAACCTTTTCAAGGAAAAAACAAAACAAAAAAGTCCAGTTGCCTTTTGGAAAAGCACCTTTATTTTCATTTCTTTTAAGTAAAGCTGCTTTGCAAAAAAATAATAATAATGTGGCACTGCACTGTGAAAAAAGTTAACCTAGTAATGGTTTAAAAATGCTTTCACAAATTGTTCAGTATTTTGCCACCCACTACAAATTCTGCATTGATCTGTCATTACAGCACACTATTTTAAAATTTAAAGATATTATACATTATACATGCACTGGATCTAAAAATCAGAAAGCCAAGAGCTCAGCTATCACCATGAGACTTTCTCACTACAGTCTGAAAGCTCAGAGAACATTCTGGAATGAGGTACAGTGTGGAAATGACATCCTGTACAATTTGCCCCATGGCAGTAACAATCAATACAGGTAGTCCTCAACTTACAAAAGTTTATTTAGTGACCGTTCAAAGTTACAATGCCACTGAAAAAATTTACTTATGGCTGTTTTTAACACGACCGTTGCAGCATGGTCATGTGATGAAAGTTCATCCCCTTAACAACTGACTCATATTTATGACGGTTTCAGTGTCCTGGGGTGATGCGATCACCTTTTGCGACCTTCTGACAGGCAAAGTCAATGGGGAAGCCAGATTCACTTTACAACCGTGTTATTAACTTAGCGACTGCAATGATTCACTTAACAACTGTGGCAAGAAAAGTCGTAAAATGGGGCAAAATTCACTTAACAAATGTCTCGCTTAACAACAGAAATTTTGGGCTCAATTGTGGTTATAAGATGAGGACTACCTATACAAGTAAGGACTCTCTGAAATACCTCTCAATAAGATTTAAAATGTGCCTGTGGCTGTGGCTGTAAGTCATAGTACTATTTTAAATTTCACTGAGTCTTACACCCAAATAAGCATTCAGAGCTCCAATCTGCATATTTGAAACTTCTAAAAAAATAATCGTTTTACAGAGATTTTATTAATCCATATAATCAAAAAAGATCCATACAAATACTCTTTCAGCAAATTAAAAAAGATAAATATTTCTTTCTTTTTCTAATATGCAGACAGCAAACCTTAATTCTGCATTAAATAGCATTTATCAACTTTTCTAGCAAACTGCTGCATTTGCTGAACAAAGGACAACCTTTTTTTCATATCCTTTCTTCTCTGATGTACTTCTAAAGCATTTTGCACTAGAATACATGCCTCTTATTATATTTTATTACCATGACCAAATTATAATGACTGAATAACCACCCATTTAAGTTGTTTTAACTGTACCGAAATCAACTGACATTTCCCACATACTCTTGCACATTCAGGCCATATACATCTTATTCCTCAGCAGTTAGTTCTGCTGTACTTCCCCTGAGGTATTGTCAGAAATGGGAAAGAGAAGCACAAATCATTTAATTAAAGTGGAAGGAGCAAAAGCCCCATTGATCATCCATTTTCCTCATCTCACTAACTAAAAGATTGCTGTTGTAATTGAGCAGGCTCCAAATTCTGACCTTCACAGCTACCAGCCTCGTGCCAGACAGTCAATCCATCTCCATGAGTGAGACTAATAATGTACAAAATCAGAGGACAAGCCAGGAGCAAGGCTGGTCAAGAATGGAGGCTGACCATCTGTTCAGCAGCCTCTGAATAAAGTGGAGTCTCCCTAGAGAAAGTCTAAGTACCGTATTTTTCAGAGTATAAGATGCACCTTTTTCCCTCCTAAAAGAGGCTGAAAATTTGGGTGCGTCTTATACTCCAAATGTAGCTTTTTCGAAGCTTTTTTTCAGCCCTAACAAGGCACTAGCCAAGTGAAGCGATCTCCCCGTGCTTTGCCTGCTTTTCTCATTGTTGCTTCCTCTCAGCTGTGCCTTAGAAGCTGTTTTTTATCCCCAAGCAGGGGATAAAAAACCAGCAAACTAATGTGCTGAAGCTGACCAGACTAAGTGTGCTAGCCAGATAAATACCTGGTAGGCAGATTTCCCCCCCCCCTATTTTCCTCCCCAAAACTAGGCTGCGTCTTATACTCCGGTGCATCTTATACTCCGAAAAATACGGTAAATTAAGCAAAAGAACCATTGTTTTGGAAAAGCGGTGGTTTTTTGAAGAGATATACAAGTAATCCTTGACTTACAACAGTTCATTCAGTGACCGTTCAATGGCACTGGAAAAAAGTAATTTATGACAGTTTTTCAGTTACGACCTTTCCAGCATCCTCATGATTGTGTGATCAAAATTCAGATGCTTGCCAACTGATTCATATCTATGACTGTTGCTATGTCCCAAGATCATGTGATCATGTATTGCACCTTTCTGACGAGCAAAGTCAATGGGAAAATCAGATTCACTTAACAACCAAGTTACTAACTTATCAACTGCAGTGATTTACTTAACAACTGAGGCAAGAAAGGTCATAAAATGGGGCAAAATTCACTTAACAAATGCCTCACTTAACAACAGAAATGTTGGGCTCAATTATGATCATAAGTTAAGGAATACCTGTATAAAGTCTAGCTATGTTTAATTTTTTTCCTTGCATTTTTTTCTATGCAGAACTAAAGCAAATGTAATATTCTTAGGTCACTGTACAAATTTAGAAAATTGGGTATTAGTTCAGCTTTGAGTCAAACTAATGTTTAACTTCAAGATGGCTCAAATTACAGGTAGCCCTCACTTACTGACTACTCATTTAGAAACCATTCAAAATTATAACAGCACTTATGACCAGTCTTCCAGGTTGAGGTTATCGTAGCAATATGCTTTCCTTTTAGAAGGAGCTTATTAGAAGATCGCAAATATAATCAGACAAGTAAAGAAAGGTCTGTAAAATATCAGATGTCTTAGGGCTAAGAACTACTCTGTTTCAGAAGATATATGAAGAGCTCCAAAATAGCCTGCTCTAAACTAGAGCCAAAAGACACCTCAATCTGTTTTGGCCATGAGCAAACTGGATGACTAGTTCACTACCTCTCAGTCCTACTACATCACAGTGTGGTTCTTGTGAGGATAAAAAACAAGGGGAGTTCCCCATGTGCATTACCCTGAATTCCCAAAAGGAAAATCAAAGAAAAAATGTAATATATGAACAAGTGTCCATTCTAAGTTAAAATATAGCAAAATCTTTTAACACACTAAGGGGATATTTGCCACTACCTTTTGCTATTGAGATAGCACTTAAAGTTAAGCTCCTGCAGAAAAAAAAGAAGTAGGATAGAATATATTCAAACAACTAAAATTAGTGATATTCACAACTACTCTACTAACAAAAACAAAATCCTCCTAAAAAGCTCTAGTTTTGACATCAAAACTTAGTCACCACACTTTGAAAAAAGATTCCT